AGGTCCTCGTTAGTTACCTATTTTATTAATATATATAGTAGTGTGTATGTCAGTCCCAATCTCCCCATTTATTTCTGCCCCTCCTTATTCCCTGGTAACCAAAAGTTTATTTTCTAGATCTGTAATTCTATTTCTAGACCTACTGCATGCTTCTTAATGGCTGCAGAATATTCCAGAATGTGCACTTACCATAATTTAGTTAACTATTTTCCCATTGTCGGCCATTTAGGTTTTTTCCCCCTAGGTTTTCAGTATTATAAATAATGCTGTAATGAAGTTCCTTGTACTGTACATGGATCTTTGTATAGGCATGTGAGTTTCTGTAGAGTAAATTCTCAGGGAAGGTTGCAGGGTCATGGGAGATGAGCCATTTAGCATTTTGGTGGCTCTGTCCTTTCTAGCATCTCAGTTTAAAGCCTCAGACGTGGCACTACCTGATACTCAAGATGGTAAGAGTTTAGTGACAGATGTGCTGGGCCAGGTTGCCAGTTCCATCTCCTCTTGTGCACTTTGTAATCCAGGGACATTCAATGAACTGCAATCAAAGCAATCAGGCCCTCAGTTAATCAGGCCACCTTAAGGAGAAATAGGAGAGAGATAAACTACCAGAGGTTTAGAGAGGAATGGGGTGGGGCGGGGGGCGGGGGGATCTTCTGGGGGCTGTCATAGGCTCAATGTCCACTCAGCCCAAATCCTGTCCTTTTCACCTCTATATATTTACCTCTGAACAATGGGGGCTGATATTCATAACCGTGACCTTGACATCTTCTAAGATTCATCAAAGCAGGAGTGAATGGTGCTCGCCAGACAGGATTTCCTAAAGCAGGAACTGCATTTACAAATTCATTTTTGAAGCTTTCTCAGCTACAAGGACTGAGACATACAATTTACTGCTTAAATCTTGGTTAGCAAGAAAGACACATTGTTCAGATCCCATGTTCCCTAGTTCCTAGTACTGGACACCAGGTAAAAAAGGATTCTAAAAGTTACCAGTGGCCTTCACTAAATCCAGACCAATGGTTGTTTCTTTGTAATTCTTCCTGACTTCAACCTTGGCCTCTGGTGATAGAAAACTATTGGGTCATCTCTTATTTTCCTGATCATTTCCCTCCCTCTTGGAAGAATTCTCTTCATCTTCCCATTCCTTACTTGTGGGCATTTCTTTTTTTGTTGTTGTTGGCATTTCTTATATTCAATGTTTAGTTCTTTTCTCCCTGTTCTGTCTCTTGAAGAACACATCCAGTTTCATACTTCTCACTCCTAAATTTGTCTCAGTCCTGAATTCTCCCTGAGCATGCAATTCCATATTGCTAAATACATACTGGACTTCTGGATAGATATGTCACCATAAAATCAAAACTATCTCATTTTCTTTAATATAGAAAATGCTTTTACAAATCCAAAAGAGAAAGACAAACACCCATTTTAACAAAATCGGCAGAGACATGGATAGGCAACTCACATATACATAGACACAATCACATACACAGTCGAACAATAAAAAAATTCACTCTCACTAATAAAATGCAAATTAAGTGACATGATGCCATTTTCCAGGGACAAAATTCATGATGGTTAAAAAACCTCAGAAACTCAGTGCTAGTCTAAGTATGTGTAAACAGACACGCTCACACACTGGTGTTGAAAATAGACATTTGTAATATTCTCTGTTGAATGATTTCTCAATGTGTACCGAAGTCTTTCCAGTGTGTGTGCCCTTGGACCCAGCAGGGTTTAATTCTAGGAATTTAGCTTAAGGAAATAATCAGAGACTATGCAAACATGTAAGAACATGAATTATTACTTAAAATGGTTGCAAACTTGGAAACAGGCTAAAGGTCTAGCAGTGGAAGATGGGTTGAAAAAATGTGGTAAATTCTTACAATGGAATGCTACATGACCAAAAATGTATTGTTTTAGAATATGCTTAATTAATCAAGAGAGCATCCATACTATGTTAAGTGTCAGATTATCTATCAAGCCAGGTGATGAAAAGGAATATATATACAGAATTATCCCATTTTGTAAAAAAAATAAATAAAAAAGAGATAGAGAAAGAAGTGTATAGACTGTAGGGCAACACATAAATATTAGTGGCGATTATCTCTGGAGAGTGATATTATGAGTGATTTTTATTTTCTTCTTTATAATTTTCCATATGTTTTAAAATTTCTACAGTGAACATTGATTACTCTTATAAAAATCTGATAAATGTAATTTAAAAATAATAGCTGAAATGAGAATCTTAGACTTTTCCACTAAAGCACCCTTTCCTGGCTTCCCACTTTCTGCCCTTGGTGTCATCAATCCAAGCTCCCAAGCCTAGGACCTTGCAGCCTGACAGCTTTGATTGTTCCTTTACTGTCTCTGCCCCAACACTCACTGAGTCTCATTCTTCCTCTAGGATGGCTCTCAAATTTGTTCCTCCCTCCTGAGTCCCAAGTCAGATCAGTTCATTTCAGCCAGCATTTATTGTCACAGTGCCTGCTTGTCATTCTGCCAGTTCAGCGTTATTGGAGTCACCCCCTAATATGTCTTCCTGCCCCTGCCCTCTCTCTCCTCCCACTGATCAAGTGCCCAGCAGCTGGAATGATGTTTTGAAAACACCACTTGTGTCATGGTCCTTCCTGCTCAAAACACTCAAAATGCCCCTTTCAAACCCCATTGCCTGGGGGAAGAAAGGCCATATGCTTTCTTCAGCTATTTCAGGCACTCACAGCACTAGGCTAGGTGGGAGATAACTGTGGCCATTTGAGGGGTGTTTGGTGAGGTTTTGGCAATGAACTAAATCTTTAAGAATAAGATATGGAGTCCTCCCCACTGCCATTCACTATCTTCAGTTTGAAAATTGCCTTTCCTCACCTTTTGGCACTTGGACCAGAGGCCTTGGAGCAGTTGGAAGTTTCATGGTGCCGAATTTGGAGACAGGAAGAGGCAGCCAGGGGCGATAAAATAGGGCTCAGGAAACCTCGACTCTTGAGTCCATTCCAACTTCTGATCTGCTAAGTAGGAGGCTCCATCAAGAAAGCAGATGGTCTCTTAGGTTTCTGTCTCCCCTGCAGCCTTGAGGACCAAGAGTGAACGGTGGGAAACTTATATCTCTCTTTGATTGTTTTGATAAGAAGAAGTGAGAAAGGGGTGAGGGAAGGCAAAGGGGGGCAGATGTAGAACAAGCCCTAAGTGATGCGGGCCACTCATGAAACTCAGCTGTCTTCAGATACCCCTCTGGGGTCCAGAATCTACCAGCCAGGACCGAGTGATGGCATATGGTTGTCTGTTGAGAATACTCTGCTGGGAGTGTGTGGGATGGGATGTTTGAGGGTAACCATCTTGCCAGATGGCAGTCACGGGCACTCATCCTGTCTCTTCAATGACCTGGTGACACTGATGGGAGTTGGATCCCACGCTGGGGGGAGGGCTGTCTGGGAACCAGTTGTGCAATGCCAGCTGCTGAGGGGCTCCCCCGCCGAAGCAGTCTGTCTGTCTCAGTGCAAAAGTTTACCCTGATGTTCTGAGTCGAAAAGTAGGGCCCGTCCAGCCTGAGAGGTGCCTGCTAGCACAGCTGGTGATGCTGGGACAGGACTCCTGGCACCTCCTTTGTCCATTTTGGATTGCTCTTGGCACCTTTCTGGGTACGGAACAGAACACCCAACAGAAAGTCTGACTCTCTGTGTAGCCACCCCTCCTGTCTAGCTCAGCTGTCTCCTGCTTCCCCTTTCCTCTCTACAGCCCCCTCTTGGGGCCGCCGGCACTTAGCCGGCTTCTTGAGTACAAGTAGGCCTCTTCGGTCCTGCCCCCTGGATCCTTGGAAGCCTTCCTCAGTGTGAAGTTCTCTCTGTTTTGTAGAACTGCTAACAATGAGAACCCTTGGGACCTGCAGGCAGAGCAAAGGCCCCCTGCTTTCCAGGGCTGCAAATGGCTTACCTGACCCCGATGGAGATTGGGGAACCTGGGGCGGGCTGAGGGCAGCTGTGTAGCTGGACTGTCCCAAAGTGTTCCATGGCATTGCCTATTGTTTGAGGATCTGAGGGGAAGGAGGACGTCACAGTGCAGTGAGAGCTGCAGCTACAGTTGCTGGAGTGTTTATCACACGCTAGGCCCCGTGCTCAGGGCTTGAAGAGCTTTATCCTATCCAGTCCTCACACCAGTCCTATGAGGTAGTAACTACTACTGCCTGGTTTTGCAGATGCAGAGATTTCGAGAAGTTCAGTAAATTTGTCTGAGGTCAGGAGGTGGAGAATGTGGGACTCCCACTCAGACCTGCCTGATTTTTAACCTGTAGGTTGTGCCATCTTGGTTAGGTCCCCAAAAGTGCCCTAGAGAAAGGAGCAGTTGCTTTTTAAAATTTAATTAATTTTTTTTTTGGCTGCCCTGGGTCTTGGTTGCTGAGTGTGGGCTTTCTCTAATTGAGGTACTTGTGCTTAGTCACCCCTTGGCATGTGGAATCTTAGTTCCCTGTCCAAGGAGCAAACCTACAATGACTACATTGGAAGGTGGGTTCTTTAATGGGGGACCACCAGGGAAATCCCAGTAATTGCTTTTGTGAAGTTTCTTTGTCATGTTTGCTGAACACTTATATGTATTCCAGGCTTTGTCCTAAGCTCATTACATGTATGTTAGCATATTGAGCCTCCCAATCACCTGTAACATAATATCGTCTCCAACAGGAGAGTTAACCCAAGAATGGGAACCTCCGGCCCCAGTGTTCTCATCCTCTGACCCCACCCCCCAACCCCGTACAAGCCCCCTCTGTAGTTGGCTGTGTGTGAACTGTATTGACATTCATTATGGAGCCTCAAGGATGCCGGAACCCAAGCATCCATGATTTGTAAGCTAATGGGTCATTTTGCTTTGGATCAGGAACTAGCTAAGGGGAGATGAGCCTGACTCCCCGAGTGTGTGTTCCTTCCTAGCACAGAGGGCACTGGGATGGGAAAGTGAGACCCAGGTTGCCTGTAAGCACGTCCTCATTTTCTCCCCTCCTTCCCTTTCCAAATTAGGGTGAAGGTTGCCGAACGGTCCCCCTGGCTGGACATGTGGGGTTTGACAGCTTGCCCGACCAGCTGGTGAATAAGTCAGTCAGCCAGGGCTTCTGCTTCAACATCCTGTGCGTGGGTGAGTATTTCCATAGCAGGAAATTCTATTACAGAATATGGATCTGCCGGGGTCCAGCCCCAGCAGGATCCAGGGGAACCCTCAGGATGAACGGCATCGGCGAGAGAGAGACACGTAGGACCGGCCTTGATAGGGCCAAGTCTGCTAGGGAGAGAGAGAGAAAGAAAGAGATCAGACCAGGAATATGCAGCAGAGTCTGGCAGTTGCTTTATTTTTCACCATAGCCTTTATACCCTAAGTTGGTACATTTCTAAGGGGCAGATAAGCACACAGACTTAGTTTAACATGACATCAGCTTGTCCTTCACGAAACCAGGTGTGCTCTGTATATTTTTGTTTATGAGAGTCTTTTCCCATAGACTTTTTGTACATTATCTTCTGGCCTTGAGGTTAGCAGAAAACAGAAAAGTGGCAGTCTCATGATACAGCAGGTTGTAACATAGAAATACAATCCTGTTAACATAAAAGACAGTCTTTTTGCAGAAATTCTCAGCTAAATTTATCTAAAAAGTTTAACACACAAAGACTATGGCTCTGGTGAGGCAGCCCCTGTTTAGCACTCTTGGTTAAAATTAACAATTATCTTATTGTTTTTACACTAGGGCTAAACTCTTATTTTACTATATCTTTTAACTATATTAACAATTGTTTCCACTGCACAACCTCAGCACATTAACATCAATCAAACAGTGATCTAATAACCACTTTTAAAACAATATTTTTTGTATTTTCTAATAGGGCTTCCTCACCCCCCAAAGGGCTCTGTGCCTATTAGGGCCTTTTTAATGGTTAATCTCTATGTATAATATCTTTTGGCTTTCAGGCCTGTTGACAATTTATGGTTTGCACCTGGTGCAACTTTAAGCAACTTCAGTAGCCGACCCTGTCTTTTTTGTGGTTAATCTACTTTCTTTCTATTAGGTGTCATCTCCAAGGGAACTAGATAGGATTACATTTTCATAGAACAGGAATGCAAAGGATTGCAAAAACAGCAGATATGGTACAAAACAGGCTCTTAGTCTAAAAGTTAATTACCTGCAAGAAGTCGCCAGCTAATCTCTATCTAAACTATTTTCTATTAGGCCCATTTGTGGCTATAATATTTGTGGAGCTTTTCTCACCCCGAGAAGGAGCCTATGCTTAATAGTTTCTTTTGTTAGCGTACTGTACTTAGGATGTTTAGAACAATCATGAGCATTTTGTGCAATGAGAGCACACATTTATCAAACAAGCCAGAATGCCAGCAAAAGGGTTTGAATTGAAGCATTTCCTTCATCCCTGGCCCCTTCATAGGGTACCAGCGTCCAGGAGATTTATTAATTAGCTTTTAAGTTGGTCTTTATTCAGGGAAAGAGGAGCAGGAGAGCTCTTGGCAGGCAACACAAGAATCTGCAGCAGGACAAATAAGAACAACAGCAGAAAAAGGGGGGAGGATATAGGGTAGGATAGAGGCTGAGGCCAACCTGGAGGGTCCCTTATCCTAGACGGCCTTGCCTGCCCGGTATTTTCTTCATGACCTCGTCACGGGTGGGACCCCCCATAATGGCTCCCGGCATGGATCCTTAATGGCTGGATGTGGCTTGGCAGGTAATTAGGTTCGATAGTGTGTCGTTCTGATCTGTCTGCAAGAGTATTTCTCCCCCTCTTCTTTTATCCCTCTGCTTGTTTGTGAGCAGCTGGCTGTAATTACACTTTTTTTTTCTCTGCCCAGACCAGAATGTGGGGCCATCCCTTGGGGGTGGGGGGAACTGAGCTGTGTGACACCCAGTGGAAATTCTGTGAGGGAGCTGACCAGCTCTTGTCAGGTTTGTTCTGACGTAGAGAATAAGAGCCAGGGCAGAATTGGGAGGGAGGTAACAGCGCTGGAAAATGCCTGCTTCCCAGCTGTGGGCAGTGGGTTGGGTCTGTCTATTTCCTCTGCAGCCCTGCTGTGCTTGGTACAGTTTGAGCCTAAGCGCAGGGACCACACAGCTATGTGGCAAGTTCTTTTATTCCCTTGAAGTGTATCTGTGCCTGGATCTTTAGTCTCAAGTGTGGGAACCATGTCTTAGTCATCTCTACTGTGCTAATCACAGCACAAAGAGAGTTCAATGATGTACATGAAATGAATGAATGAATTATCCCCGCAGGAACCACTCACTATACTTCTCAAACACTTTCCTATGTTAGCAATTTGGGTCCTTACTAGGACTCTGGGATGGACACGACTGGGCGACTTCACTTTCACTTTTCACTTTCATGCATTGGAGAAGGAAATGGCAACCCACTCCAGTGTTCTTGCCTGGAGAATCCCAGGGATGGGGGAGCCTGGTGGGCTGATATCTTTGGGGTTGCACAGAGCCAGACATGACTGAAGTGACTTAGCAGCATCAGGACTCTGGGAACTGAACAGAGCAAGTGGTATTCATAGCCTCAAGGAACAGAGGGAGACTAAGAAACTCCAGAGGATAAGGGACTTACCTGAGTCCACACAGGATAAGTGGCGGAGCCATGACAAGGACCCAGGTCTGCCTGACCCTTTGTTCCTCCCACTGCTTCTGTAACTGCTGCCTGCAACACCTCTTGAGAACCCAGAAGTGTTTTGGAAACTGTCACACTCCAACCAAACACATCTGAAGAATAGCAGTTCCCTGACATTCTTTAAGAATCTCTCTTTAGACCTTGCTGCCATGCTGTGCTCAGTCCTGTCCAACTCTTGGCTGAGACCTTAAATAATCCCAGATTTACAAACATGATCACAGCATATAATTTTCACTATACGGTGCAGTAAGGCATACCTGCATATTTTCAGTGACGTACCTCCAAACCTTAATGACTGTATAAATACCATAATAATGGCAGTTTTCATGCCAGTTGGAACACTCAAACACTTGCTAATTGCCTTTTCTTATTTCTGTATAGCCCTTATGGGGAGTTCATTCATGTTGAGGGTCTGAACCACGACTGAATTGCATATTTTACTCTAATGGTCTAAAGTTATGTTTTCTAACTAAGGCCATTCCTTTTTGTGGGACTCTTTTATTTTTTTGTCTCCATCCCTGGCACTCCTCAGATCATTTCGTGGAGGAGAATAACTGCACCCTCAAGGACAAGTAGAAAAACAAAGCCACTTCTACATCTGGGGGACAGGTGGTCAGCTAGGCTCACTCAGTAGTGACAAGACTCACTCCCACTGTCCAGCTCTGAAGCCTATGAGATGAAAATACATGCTTCACAGATTACTTATCAGGGGCCTGAAAGTCCACATCTAGGCTGTTAATTCTTCAAATGCCAAAAGTCGACCCATGGTTATGATGAAGTTCTATTAGGAGAGGGATACAAAACAGACAGCAGCTGTGGTGATCGACATCAAGATGAAATGCCATCACATCCAATATTAGCCCTGCCAGATCTTCCCCATCTTTGGCTGATGGCCAACTTATTTCACATAACATTTGATTACTGAAAAACTTATGCACAAACATGATGGAGTCTCTTGGCATTCCTCCCAGAGCTCCGGATGACCTGCGCTGAAGTCAAGGGGATGAGAAGTGAAGGCCCACCCATGTCAACCTCTCAAACGAAGTGCAATTGAGTGGCTGCTATAGCTTTGGAAGAGCCTAAGTGTGGGGTAATTGGCCATTCGGACCACAGGCTCTCCTAGGGCCCAGAGGAACAGGCAACCAAGCTCCAGGCAAAGTGGGTGGGAGAAATAGTAAACCCCCACTCACCCACGCAGTTACAACTGTAACTGCTTCACTGTGCCTGCGGGGATAGAATTGCTCAACTGCTGGGGACAGACCCTCCAAGAGGAAAAGGGGAGAAAGGAGACCCTTACACCCAAGGAGTCACCCCTTTTCTTCCTCTCCTGCTGATGAAGTTTCAGGAAACGGCTGCCCTAGTAACTCCCCTTTTAGCCCTGAGGGTGCACCCCTTGCATGCACCTGCCCAGATTGGGTTAATTTCATTCCCCATCCCTGATCCACGAAAGCCTGCAACTCATACATCCCCGTCTCTGGCTGGGCTCCCAAGCCTGTCCTTGCTCTGAGAACCCACATGTTGGCCTTAAGTCACGAGTGGCTTACAGTGGCTCTTTGGCTGCCATCTCAGCCTGGCCATGGGGCGGGGTGCTATCGCTGACTTGGCGAAGGGTCCCTGGCTTGGCCACTGAAGGTGATCGTTTCGCTCACAGAAACTTCAGTGACCATATTTTCATGCCTACTGGCTGTGCAAAACGGTCAGTTTTACTCCCTTAATGATGGCTAGAAAACCATTCTGTTTGCATAGGGTATGTTTCCCCAAAGGACTTTCTTTTCTTTTCTGATCAGGCATTTTAAGTAAATTTTAAGTAAATGTAAAATTATGCTAACCCCAGCCTCGGTTATTAACAGAGACCTAGGATATTTTTATCACAGCAGTGTTTATCTGGTGCTGGGCTCTGATCAGAGGCCCCAGCAGCAGAGTGAGTACCCTACACGCCTATGTGCACATGTGCGTGAGGGAAACAGGCTTCCCTGGTGGGTGGCTCAGACGGTAAAGAATCTGCCTGCAGGAGACCTGGATTCAATCCCTGTGTCAGAAAGCTCCCCTGGAGAAGGGAATAGCTACCCACTCCAGTATGGAATTGAGAGGGAGAATTTTTAATGAATCAAGAGCATAGTTTTTACACAAGGGCCCCGATAATGACATCTATGATTATTTTTAGAGGGCCAGACACATGGGTATGAGCATATTATGTCTCTTTTCCAACAGTTGACAATAAATACGATAATTACTGAATGGGATGAGATTCCCCTCCCCCTCTAAAAAATCTACTAGTCCCTTAGCTTTAGAAATCACTAGGGTCCCAGGATTCTAGATATAGTACAGGAAACCTTGGAGGAACCACTTGAGTCAGCAGTGCAAACATTCGACTGGGAAGGAACCCCAAAGAGATTCAACCCTCTGAATGTGCCAGCAACAGAGAATGCCTGTGAAGAGAACAAAGGGTCATAATGATAATATTTACTTTGAAGCTGCTCA